TAACTCCGAGTAGAGACAGTGTGGCATTGGTATGCTAGAGTAATGAAAAACTTCACTTTAGTTAGCGCTATAGAGTGACTGGCCAGTGCTTTAAATGGAGGCTTGAGAGACCAAGATGTGTTGATAGGTATGATTTGCATTTCTAAGCATGCATGTCGTATTTTATTGGTTCTAAAGCTAGTATTTCATTTATTTTTTTAGCATTTATTTGATTTACTACACTTACCTTTTATTATACTACATATTTCTATTTATATTATCATATCGATTGGAGATGTTATGATTGTTAGTAGATTTTATTTCTATGATATTGAGATTTATGATAAGAAGTGAAAATACATATTGATTTTATTACCCGTTTGATCATTTAATGTTATTTTGGGTATGGATTGGTTGAGTTGGTATGGGGCTCAGATTTATTTTATGAAGAAATGAGTTATATTATTTTTGGGCAGTGAGACTTGGGTATTTTATGGAGTTCTATCTTATTTTTTGAGCTTGCTATGAAAAAAAAATAGAGTGAAGAAGAATGGTTGTATAGTATTTTTGGAGTCAGTTTGAGATAGAAGTACATATTCTTGCCTTATTTCTAATGTCTCAATAGTATGTGATTTTTTAGATGTGTTTCCCAAGGAGTTATCTAGTTTTCCTCTAAATAGAGATATAAAGTTTTGCATTAATGTATTTATGGGTAAGGCCCCAATTTCTAAAGCTTCATATATGATGGCATATAAGAAGCTTCAAGAGTTTGAGGTTCAACTTCAAAAGTTCATTGATAAAGGATTTATTCATCCTAATGTGCCTCTGTAGGGAGCACCTATTTTATTTGTGAAGGTAAGAGAAGCTCAAGTGATGAAGATATCTTTTAATACGAGATATGAACACTATGAGTTCTTAGTCATGCCTTTTGGGGTGACTAATGTACTATCTTTCTTTATGAATCCGATGAATTGAGTGTTCAAAGATTTTCTGGAATAATTTATGATTATTTTCATCAATGATATTTTGGTTTAATTAATTTTCGAGGAAGATCATAGCTTATATTTAAGGATTATTTTGGAGACTCTAAGGTAGTATAAGTTATATGCTAAATTATCCAAGTGAGAGTTCTGGATAAAGAGTATTTCTTTTTTAGGTTATGTGGTGAGTAGTGATGATATCTCTGTAGATCCTCGAAAGTTCAAGTAATCATTGATTGGTTGAGATCTACTATTGTATTTGAGGTGCACAGTTTCTTGGATATGGCTAGATATTACAAGAAATTTGTGAAAGAGATTTCTTAGATTTATTCACCTCTAACGAGACTAACTCAAAAGTTAGTAGCTTTTGTCTAGACACCGGTATGTGTGGCTAGCTAGTTTTTAGAGATTGAAGGATGTTTGAATTCTTCTCCAATTTTAGCTAGTCTATCTAGTACCAAAGGATTTTAAGTATTTATTAATGCTTTACTAAGAGGGTTGGGATGTATTCTATGCAATACTGTAGAGTGATAGCTTGTGTTTCTAGATAGTTAAAGCCACATGATATGAACTATCACGCACATGATATAGAGTTAGGTGTTGTTGTATTTGCTTTAAATATTTGGCGGCATTACTTATATGATTTTAGATGTGAGATTTTTATTGATCATTAGAGTTTGAAATATAAATTCACTCAAAAGGATTTGAATTTGAGACTAAGGAGATGACTTGAGTTGATCAAAGACTAAGATATGACTATTCAATATCAGTCTGGTAAGGCTAATATTATAGCATATACTTTTAATAAGAAATATTCTAGAGTTTAATTTTTTAGCTTACTTCTAATGAGTATTTGATACAGGATATAAATATATTACAAATGGAGGTGATTTATTTCATTGATTGACATTTTGATATGCTGGCTCAAATGATTATTAAGTCTTCTTTATAATAAAGGATTTAAGAAGCTCAGAAGTCTGATACTAAATATTTGAAGTTGATTAATATTATTAGATCTGATATAAAATTTGAACAATGTGTATCTAATTTGACTATTATCTTCTATAAGAACAAATTATTAGTTCCTATTTTTGTAGATCTGAGGCTACATGAGGCTCATTATTTAGGCTCCATTATTCACCCAAGAAGCAACAAATGTACAATAAACTTAAATGTATATTTTGGTGGCCTAGATCGAAGAAGGATGTGAAAGATGTTGTATCAAAATGTAAAGCTTATCATTTAGTGAAGGCAAAGCATCAGTGACTAAGAGATCTTTTGCAGCCATTACCCATTCCATAGTGGAAATGGGAAGAAGTTACTATGGATTTTTTTATGGGCTTTCTTAAGTCGAGACAACAATATGATGATATTTGGGTTGTAGTTGATTGTCTAAAGAAACCAGCTCATTTCATTTTGATATGACAGTCTGATTTTGTAAACATATTGTCACAAATATATGTGTGTGAGATTATCAAATTGCATAGGATATAGAAGTTTATAATCTCTGATATAGAGGACATGTTTACCTCAAGGCTTTGGAGAGTTATTCAGTAAGGTTTTGGAAAAAAAATTATTTTTCAATACAACATTTCATTAGTAGACAGATGTATAGTTTGAGAGAATTATTAAGGTAATGGAAGATCTTTAACTACCATGTATTCTAGATTTTAGTGACAGTTGGATATATCATATTCCTTTCATTGAATTTATTTATAACACAATTTTTCGTCAAGTATAGATATAGCTCCATATGAAGCTTTATATGGTAGAAAATATTAAACCCCTTTATCTTGGATAGAGGTGGGTGAGAGGCATCTGATTAGGCCAGCCTTGGTTGATGATGCTATCTAAAAGATTCATTTAATCATACATATATTGAAGAATGTATAAGAAATATAAAAATGGTATTTTGATGATAAACATCAGGGTGTAAAAATTTAGTTAGGAAATTTCATATATGTGAATATCAGATTGATGAAAGGTACTAACAGATTTGTCAAGAAAGAAAAATTGAGTCTAAGGTACATTGAATCATTTAAGGTTACTAAAATGATTGGGAAACCTGCCTATATATTACAGTTACCATATCACTTGTCAAAAATTCATAATGTGTTTCATGTGTCACTTTTGACCACTGTTTCCTGATTACGATGTTTCTGATCTCCTTCGCCCGCCGACTATAGTCCTTCAGATGTACAGCGCCTAACTATGGCCCTTGTAACAATTGTCACTAGACTATGATCTTTATGACCTCTGTCATCAACTGACTATAGTTCTTCAGATATATGTCATAAAAATACTATCTTTTTCACCTCAGTCACAAGAATAATGTCATTCAGACCTTCATCGCTCGACTATGGTATTTCTGACTTCCGTCGTCCAATGATTATAGTCCTTTTTACCATCTTCGCTCAACTAAAATCTTTCCTACCTTCGTCATCCGCTGACTACAATCTTTCTGAACAATGTTGCCTGATTACTATCCTTCCAACCATCGTCATCCGACTACAGTCTTTCCTACCTCCATGACATGCCAATTATAATCCTTTTGATCATTATCACCTGACTATGGTCTTTCCAACCTATGCCACTCACTAACTACGGTCCTTCGGATCTCTGTCACTAGACTCAGATCTTTCCGACCATTATCATTCTCTTACGATCCTTTAGACCTCCATCACCTGCTAATTATGGTTCTTATGACCACCATCATCAACTAAGATCTTTCTAACATCTGTCACCCAAATATTGCCCTTCTAACCTATGTCACATGCCGACAAAGGTCTCTTCGACCATTGTCGCCAACTACGACCCTTCCAATCGCCTTCACCGACTACGGTCTTTCCAACCTCCGTCGCCCGTCGACTACGATCGTTCTGATTATCGTTGCCTGACTATGGACCTTCGTAGCCTGACTACGATCTTTCTAATCACCATCACAAGATTATGATCCCTCCAACCCTTAAAAATGGTTCTTCTGGCTATTTTCTTTCCAAACTATGTCACATGCCAACTATGGTCCTAACCATCATCAGCTGACTACGATCTTTTCGACCTCCATCATGCGACTACAATCTTTCAGACCACTATCACCCAACTATGGTCGTTCACGGAATACAGTCATTCCAACCACATGAATAGGCCAGTCTTCTATTGAGACTAGCTCCCTTATCAATGAATTATTCTTACTCTAACTATTTAATGTGCTCTATATGATACATTGAGTCAATGTCTTTCCATGCAGAATCATTTTAACTAGACCAGTCCTAGTGGCTTTTCCCCATTTCATGATTTTCCATGTAAAAATTTTGTTGTATCTTATGACACTCACTCCCCTCTCTCTTTATTTGTATGTGTGTTGGATTTTCATTCAAATTTAATATATAAGCTCTTTATCTCTCTAATGATGACTGTAATTTTTATAAAATATATCCTGAAATTATTATAGGGAAATTAATTTTTTTAATTAATTGTACAAAATAAATTTTTAGTATAAAATTTAAAAGAAATTAAAATATAATAGTCAAATAAAAATCGATTATAATTTAAAAAAAATAAAATATTTATCCCAAAATATTATTTTTTGCTATTATTATATAATATTTCTAATTACTGTAAAATATACTTCAACATATATGATTTATTTTATTTATATTTTATTATGAGCTTATAATTTTAACCAAAATAAATTTATATATTAAAAATAACGAGATCTAATTCTTCATTTCACTTATTTTCTATTTCATCATAATATTCAAAAAATTGAAAGTTGAGTATCAATATTTTATCATATATATATGAGATGCCGTTAGCTGTAAGAACTCAAACACATGATACAAAGTAGATAAAAATAATGATCTTGATTCGATTAATTTTATCTCTTAATCTATTTGTTTCATTTTCAAGAGTTATAGTATGATAAAATATATCATGCATGAGCTTATCTCTAATATCTCTTGCTGGTCTTCGTTTGGCTCTCTAGTCTCCACTATATATAGAAATCCCACACCAACCCATTAAAACCAAACAAGCAAACTATCTACTTAATTAATCATGGCTTTCTTCTCCATGATGAAGGTCCTTCTCCTTTGCACTACTTCCCTCTCACTCCTCACCACCCCTGCCTCAGGCCAGACCTCCAGCTACTTGCTCAGCAATGAGCGGCTCAACACAGGCGAAGCCCTCATACAGGGTAGCGACAATTTTACTATCGGAAATGATTGCAACCTCGTCCTCTACAACTCTGGGGATGAGATATGGTCTTCGAACACCAAAGATGAAAGTTCAGGTTGCTACCTCACCTTACAAAGAAACGGCAACCTCATTATCTATAACAAAAATGGTATTCGCATATGGAATAATAAAGGACCTGAAGGAAAAGATGGAAACTATATCCTCATACTACTAACGAGCCATAATGTTGTTATATACGGTCCAACCATTTGGTCTATTGGGAAGAGTACCTATGGTTCTAACGATGTTGACATCGCCACTGCACTTAAAGGGACAACAGGAGTTTCAAGCGAGGAGCAGAATAACATGAGGAAAATGGGGAAAACTATGAAGCTTATGAGCAATGAATAGTCTGGGTTTTATAATTATGCGTATTAATGAATAATGAATAAGACATGCATGCGTGTGAATGCTGGATGAATGGGTTTATTATCTCAAGCATGTTTTTAATTTCCTTGCTCTGTGTGTGTTCTTATCGTTGAAATAAAATGGAAGTTTGTCCTTGTCTTGTAAGCTTTTAATGGAGTTGTTGTAGAAACTGCTTATCTATTAATTTTCCCCCCTCTAATGGTTTGATCTTTAAAAAATAAATGATAAATTATTTAGTTTCATCATGGATTTAGTTTGATATTAATTTTAACTTTTAACATCTAATTTATTGATTTGTGAACATCAACTTTTTCACTTTATTGATTTATGTTCCTGGTTCTGCTGCAGATTATATTAATTTGTTCTCCTGTGAAGTTACAAAATGAAAATTTTATTAAATTTAGTCTTCCTTGTAGTTTGAAAGTTATAGTAATTTCAAATGTTTAAAGTAAGTGAAATTAAATTAACTATTTTTTTAAACAAAATTTTTATCCACAGAGAGCCATATGACACTTACGAGTTTCTTACCTATTTAGGGTTTCTTCGGGTAAGGGCGGAGTCAGAAAATTTTATTAATGAGTGCACAAATTTATAATTTTAAATATTTTTTTTTATTTTTTTTCATGTGATTGATTTTATATTTTTATTTAATAATTAAATATTCAAGAATGTAAGTTATTACTTGTAAATTTGTGCCTAATATGAAAACTTTATACTACAATTTTTCATATACTTTTGTAGAATTTAATAATAAATTAACTAAAAAATAGTGGGCACTGAAAATTTGAATGACTTACGAGTCTAATAAACAGTCCATAAATAATGAGCTATCTCTCATTAGGGATAATTATATCCAAAAAGAATTTTCAGGTATATCTCTCCTATAAAAAATTAAAAAAAAAAAATTGTAAGCTAAGTATATAATTCTTTTTGGTTTCATACCTTAAATATGTATTTAAACTATTTATAAATGAAAAAACATATAAATAAAATGAAACTAAATTTAGAAAACAATAAAATTGTCAAAACTATCACCGAAAATATTTGTTTTTCTAGTAGTGAAATTTGTTTCTTCTTTGAGAGTTTGAGTAACTCTAAATGCTCAATTAGAGTTTAGGATCCTATCATTCCTATATAAATCGTATGCTATGGTATCATTGTTCTTTGAGTAGATTTAACTTGCTCAGGCTGCTCCATGAAACTACTTTTATTTTAGTTAGGCATATGCGTTGTGCTGGTTTTGATTGCATTTTTATGAAGGTCCAAAAAAAAAAAAAGAAACTGTAAATGGCGCTCTAAGGTTTCGTTTGGTTTATTTGCCGTTTCGGTTTCAAAAACGTCAATAGGAGAAATAGAGTTTTTTAAATGGAGAAGCTAATACATAATGCTTCTCAAACAATAGAGAAATGAAGTTTTTGAAAAAGTATGCCTCACATCCAAACATGTTCCGTCAACCGAGTTTCCCGTTTCAAACCGAAAAATGGAAAAAATTAACCGAAAAATAGAAAAATTACGTGGAACCAAACGAGCCCTTAGTATTGAAAAAGACCGCGGCAGGCAAAAAAACATATTTATAGGGACCAGCATTTTGCATTTTCCACAGCAGACATAATAAACTTTAGTACTCCATTCTTCATCTGCGTCCTAATAGCGTCCAATTTGTAGAGCTACCAGATTATGACTTATTTAATATTAAGAGATTTATCCTAGCGTAGAAGCAAAGCATTTACAACTGAAGGTTAACAGGTAAATAAGTCCAAGTAAATTGAAATGAGTAATTTATCAATAATCCATGTATTCTTCATAAGCAACAGAAGTTTGGATATTTCAGAGAATTGAATGTTAATCAGAGAGATAAGAAAAGCTGCCACAGAATCAGAATTAGTATAAAAACATATAAACAAGTAACAGCAAAATTGGTGCATCAAACGATCTGAGTTACATTCAGTACTCATATCATCATTCATTATCACTAATCTTAACTCAATTATCTTGGTCCAGCAATACATCTAGAAAGAACAAAACAATGTTGGGCCAGCAACACATCCAGAAACAACAAACAACAGAGTACAAACTGTTCAAAACAAAAGATTACAAATACGAGGAGGTTTGTAGCATTACGACCAGTAGTTTATAGCATTGTAGAAAGCACATTAACTAAAGTCCTGAATATTTGAAAAACCTAGCTATCTATCAAACAATGATGTTGTATCATGATTGTCATAGCAGTAACGAAGATAATGAACTTTTCGATCAGAGCAAATTGACATAAAAATTTCTCGTTTAGTTGGATCGTTGAGAAGCTTTGTAGCCAACAGAAAAAGTAACTTGTCTTCAAATGCTTCAGTTGTTTGTTCAATAACTTTAATTGCAGCAGAAATGGATGGTGTCTAAATTATTGACTTTGATGCATTAGTTCCTAAGATAAGGTTTGTGCATGAATTGACAAGTTGAGTAATTTAACTTCGTAGAAATGTAGAACCAAAAACTTTTTTCCTTCTACTGATTGAAGTTATAGAGGAAGGATATTACAATTGACTACAATCACTAATGCTATCGACATTTTGCGAATGATCTTCAAATACTCACTACATATATCAATGCATTAAGAATCTTTAGTAACATTTTCATGATGAAGTCCTTGGTTCAGAGTTCAAGCATGATCTTCGATAGCAACAACACTTAAGAACATCAGATCAATCATATCTTTAAGTTCAGAATCAATGTCACAATATCTAAATTCTTTTGTATCTAGCAGAACCTAGAAAGAAATTTTTCAGTTTATAGAATTAAAAGATATAATATCAAGATTAAATTAGCCAAATATATGAAATGCATAAAGCTAATATTTACCTATAATTTATCTTTCAACCATTCCTCATGTGTATCAATG